AGTTTGGAGTGTGACTGTTTGAGGTTGTGGACAGGTGTCTTTTATACTGATAACAAGTTCAAACAGGTGCCATTGATACAGGTAATGAGTGCAGGACAGAGGAGCCTGTTAAAGAAGAAGGTACAGGTCTGTGAGAGCCAGAACTCTTGCTTGTTTCTAGGTGACCAAATACTTATTTTCCACCATAATTTGCAAATAAATTCGTTCCAAATCAGCCAATGTGATTTGTCTGCATTTTGTTTTCTCATTTTGTGTCTACATATGATGCCAATTACAGGCCTCTCATCTTTTTAAGTGGGAGAACTTGCACAATTGGTGGCTAACTAAATACTTTTTTGCCCCACTGTAACTGTTTGTTTTTTTGGACCCTATGCAAAAACAAGCAGGTAACCCTTGTAGTGCGGGCATAGTCCCAGTGCAAGAGTTAATGCTATTTCTTTCTATTTATAATTGTTTTCTTGGGTAGTTAGAGATAGTTGGAAGATGTTGCAAACTTGCTGATGATTAGTTGTAAATGTATCTATATTTTTAACCAGTTGAGGGAGCTGAGATGGCATCTATTTGTTCCAGTGCAACTGGACCCGAACTCAGTGGGTTCTTGCTGCAATGGGTGCTGGAAGCGCCGACTTGTCAGTCACAGTCCAGCTCTAAGCCCAGGAGCTGAATTGATCAGCAATCGTGCTACACAGAATTCATCAGGTGCGGAGAGCTTTGGGAAAGGTATCCATACTCTCAGTCAGTCGTTCATTCATTCATGTATCTGTGTGTAATCTGAGATCCTGCTATTCAGGTCTGTATTTACAGCACAGCATTAAATCCGCTATCTGAAACCCTGGCATGCCAGACTTACAATAGAAAACTGTAAATATCAAAAAGGTCAAATAAGTGAGAAGAAATTCTTCTGCAGGGACACGGATATCAATAAAAGAATTGTTTATATTGTAGAGTGAGGGTGGGTTAGAACCTTTTGTTGCTATCTATGGAGCCCATTCCAGTAGTGGTAAATCTCCCCAATAGGACCATCTAGCAAGACAAAACTGATGAAGGTTCTAACCTTTTTCCACTCTTTTTAGACACCAAAAAAAGCTTTGATAAAAATTGAACTTTGGCAGAAATTCCACTTCAGTGCATAAGACTGCTGTTTGGTGGTTGGTTAGATGCATTAGTTCCCCTACAGCCCCATTTACACAGAAGTGCAGAGCTGTACATCGTGCACATCCATGCATACATACACAGTGGCTCAGTGGTTAGCACCTCTGCCTTGCAGCACTGGGGGTCCCAGTTTAAATTCACCTAAAGGAGAACTATGAGGTGAGTGATTTACACTCATACTCATAGTTAGAACCGACGTGTGACATTAAAACTGTCACACGTCAGGTCTATTGATCAGGAAGTGAGCAAACACATACCGTCGCTCGCTAACTTCCAAGTCATCTCCCTGCAGGGAGCGGTGAATCTCAGTCATTGTTCCCCACAGGAATTCCCCCCCTCCCCTCTCCAATCCCCCAGCGCTGACTGGAGGAAGGGACAGGGGAGGGGGCGGGCACAGCTGGCTCTTCCTCTAGATAGGCAAAGCCTGCTGGTAATCAGCCAGCTGGGTGGATCTTGATAGTATTGTCGGGATCCATCTTGGCTGTGGCGCTCTCAGAATACTGAGCTTTGGGTCAAATGAGGAGGTTAGTATATGTCCTCAAGTGACCCTAAAGAGAACTATGGGATAAAAGGTTACCCCATAGCTCTCTTTTACGTATTCCACTTTTGATGAGGAAAAAAAAAAACAATCCTCTTTGGTGATCTGTGTACATTGCAAGGATTTTAACAAGTTTGAGGCTAATGTCATTAGCCGTTTTTGTGGGATTAGTTGTAGTGACGAATGGCTATTTCAGGTAAGGAGGGGAGGAAGCACCGCAGCGATCTTCCGGCATACCCACCCTCCCTTCCCGTTGACAATCATTTCATGAGTATGCCCCCTTATTTGGCATACTGACCTTTAAAAATCATGGCACACCTCAGGTCATAGTCGGTAGACGAAGCGGGTGTCATTTGGGTACGTAGCGGGCCATTGGGTTTATGGGTCGGAATTCACGAGACTCCGAACACAAATGTTGTTGCAGATTCCAACCCGTTTCTGTTCTGAAGAAAAAGCTATTTGTTGCAGCATGCACTTTCCAGGCTGATTACTCTATGGGAGAGTCAGGTTCATTATAGTCAGCTGGTGGACTTTGTGCGTTGTAATGAGAAAAGTTGCAGTGTCTGCATCCCCTCAGTAGTAATGAACCCTTCGGGAGTATCTCACTATAAATGAAATTCCTGTTACACGGGACGCCTAAAATTATACTTGTATCTTAGTGCAGACTTCTGGGAAAATCATTCAGCCAATCACAGAAGCAGGAAGTAACATTTCTGGGGGCGTTCTGTACACCAACTGTCTATAGGTTACTACGTGTCTGTGAAGGTTCTCATTCATCCAGCTCATGGTATATCTGTAAAAAATAAGTCATGGCAACTGGACTTGCTGTATTTTTACAGCAAGCCCAGTTGCCTTGACTTATTTTTTACAGCTACAGGTCACTACATTCATTTTTTTTTTTTTTTAAGATTTCTTTTTATTTTTTTTAAAGTTCACAAAGTTATTTGTTGTTCAGCAATGATAAACCAGTAACACACAATATACAGCACTTCCCTTTGTAACACCTAAAAATGATTGGATTGTTAGCAGTCACCAATTGTACCTGTAGACACTGTGTGTCAGTGGCTACAGCCAATCTTTCTACTAACCGCTAGTCACATCACAAAGGTGCTGACATGGTTTTGTAATAATCAGCCTGTATACAGTGTCATGGTTCGGCCTACAAAATACCTGTATTATTATATCCTCCTTCCAGGGAAACATCCAGACTGGTGTCCAGCTTGGGCCACATATGATTGTAGTTTGTCCATGGCTTCTACAATATATCTTCATAAATGTTTGCTTTTATTTTGTTGCAGAGAGAACAGAGAAAATTCCCATGGGTTCTATTAAAAATGTAATCTCTGAGCCAATTGAAGAACATGATGATTATCACATGATGGTGAGCATTTGATGTATTCTCCAAGCTTAAAGGATAATTAAACCCTCGTGGTTTTTGCATATATTTACTGCTAGCAAGCAGTATATATATGCAAAAACATTATTGTTTTAAAGTTACGAAAAAGGTAAAAACGTACCTGTGTCTCCGCCACGTGCTCCTGTCCGAAGATCGAAAAATCTTTGCCAACCTCAATTTAATGATGCTGCGGGTGCATGCGCAGTACATATCTTCGGCCGGGAGACGAGGAGAGAGACAAGGTAAGTATGCAGGCAGCCCGGCAGCATGCACCCGCACAGACTCCATGGGACACAGACGACACAGCAGTCAGCGGAGGATCAGAGACCAGCACCAGCGCTGGAGGGACAGCTGAAAACTACAGGAAAGAAGAAGATGATCGGATCAAGAGGCATCATTTAAGGTAAGTCCTTACACTAGCATTGGGGGTGGGGGAATGTCCTTTAATGTCACATTAAAGGAAGAGAATTATGAGGAGAGTGAAATACACTCCTCTCCATAAGTAGAGCCAATGTGTCACACATCAGCTCCATAGCTCAAGAACTGAGCGCTCATATACCGCTGATCGCTCAGTTCACGATCTTCTCCCTGCAGAGAGCGGTAACTGTTTGCCACCCCTCCCCACAGGGATTTCCCTTCCCCCTCCCCGTTCCTCCAGCGCTTATTGGAGGGGCAGACGGGGGAGGGGACGGGCACAGTTGGTTCTGGCTCTAGAGAGGCAGAGTCAACTGTCAGTCAGGCAGCAGGTTGGATCCCGACAAGATTGTCAGGCTCTTTCCCGGCCGCAGCGCAGCCAGCATACAGCGGGCAATAGCCGGCTATATGCTGAGTTTTGGGTCACAGGAGGACATGGTAAATGTCCTCCTGTGACCCTAAAGAGAACTATGGCTAAAAAGGTTGGGCCATAATTTTCTTTTAAAACAATACTAAACTCAGGAGGTAAATCTTAAAAAATACATCCAAGCACCCCAACTATTAATAAAAATGTATGTTATTTGTGTATCATCTCTGAATTGGTGCTGACACTGTCTTTCCTTCTGGAGCAGGGCTACTTTTGTCCTCATGGTCCCTGTGCGTGTTGTAAAGTAGTCACCACTCCAAGCTTGCTCCCGTGATGAACTACAATTTCAATACAAATGAGTAAACTAAATGTGAAATTATAGTCCATTACAGGAGTGATCTTGGAGTGGTGACTACTTTACAACACACACAGGGACCTTGGGGAACAAAAGTAGCCCTTTTAAATGTATTTTACCAGCACAAATGTAGTGTGAATGTCTACCTGATTGGATATAAATTAAATAGATTGTTTAGACGGCCACTTGCATTACATTTTGGTTAATTTAGAATCAGAGTATAATCTGTGGGCTGTGCTTAAAGTATATCTACAGCCAAAACTTTTATTTGATAGAGGGTAAGAACCCCTGTTAGATTTGTATTCCAAGTGTCCCAGCCGGGGAGATTCACCCGCCCTCTGACTATTGTTACCGAATCCAAAATTTTGAGCTGTCACCAATGCAGGAATTGAGGAGCAATCTTCCAGTGTGGACACTTGCTGCAGGGCCCACTGTCTAAGTAAGGATATTCTTTACTATGCAGAGACTGCCACTTGCTTCATGTCGTGTTTATGGGACAGGAATTGAAGACAAATCTCTCCAATGGGTGACAGATGGCAACAAGAAATAGTAGTTTTAACATTTCCCTGCATTATCCAATACTAGAATTAAAAAATAAATAAAAGTTTTGGCTTTAGATATTCTTCACAGGCTAAGCATAGACCTGGTGTCTCATGCCAACTCTTGTTTCTATGAATGACTAGCTTTTTGGACGAAGCTAACTAGGGGCGACTTTAAAAGCATGCTGCTCTGCAATATAACCACTCACTGGGAATCTTTGGCTTCAGTGTGCTGCTAAAGAGGGGACCAGCATAGTAGCATGCAATTAAAATCAGCAGGGTATCTTAGCCCTACAACTAGTCATAGATGTGTAATAGCAGTTAGACATGGAACGCTGGACCATGGCATAAACTTTTACATCGCCAATGTTAATCCAGTGCACTTACTCACCATAATCTGTTTACATCGCTTTCTCTCTTGCTATGTCGGCAGGCTTTCCAGCTGGGTCCTACTGAAGCATCTTATTACTGGGTATACTGGGTGCCAGTGCAATACGTGGATGCCATAAAGGACACAGTGTTAGGAAAATGGCAGTATTTTTGAAGTTACCTTCACCTCTGGCATAGAATACGAGACGCTGGGAGGAGCCAAGAAACCACCTTTTCCCATCCTGCACCACAGAAACCGATCCCCCCTCCTTCACCGCCATCACCTTACGGTGATTACCCATTTCCCAGTGCTCCATAGAACCTTACAGGGGTGGAACTTTTGCCATGCGAAGCAGCCTGTGAGGATACAGAATGCTTATTCTATAGGAGCCAGAGGTGACTGATCGTACCTAGTTTACATTTTTAACGTTTTTTCAAGTTGTGGGATCCTGACCGCAGCTGCATCAGCCATATACCCAAGAATAAAACAACTCCTCCCCCCCCCCCCTCTTTTTTTTTTTTTTTTTTTCTGCGCGGTAGGGAGTCTAATGGTTTTCACAACCCCTTCTATTGGTCTTTCCGAACCACTTTGACAAGTATTGGTTCTTTTTGATGCCGACAAGCCGATATATGGGGACTCGACCTGTGGAGGCGCATCCTCGCAGAGGGCAAGGCTCCCTTCAGTACATGCTGACAACCCCCAATGATCGCCAGTCATGAGACTGCTGTGATTATGCCGTGACAGCAAGAAAAGTCTTTTCATGATAATTAGCGTATGCCACAACCACAATGGAGGATGTCAACCTGCTTCATTATTTTTTATTTTATTTTTTTTTGGAATTCTTAATTTAGAAAACAAAAAAATTAAACGGGTGCAGGAAAGGCTGCACTGTCTAAATTTCTTCCTGTCTGTGTGTGTCATTTACCTGTGCAACATTACTATAAGGTGGGATATACACTCTGGCCACTTTTTTAGGTACACCTTGCCAGTGGCATCACAAGGGGGTGCGGCCCGCCCCCAGGAGACACCAAAATGACTGACAGTCATGGACCAAGAGCCCAACAGTCAGGAGAGAGGAGTGGACACGGTGGCATACCTCATCCGGCCAGAAGAGCGTCCCCTCCCCTCTCAGCCGCGATGACCAAGATGGCCGCCGCAGGCGTCAATTAGATGGCTGCGCATGTGCGATGACGTCACTGCTGTGTATCACCCGGTCTCCGCTCCGGGTGACACCTGGCTTTGGGACGCCCCTGCACCTTGCTAGTGGTTGCAGATTTGTCGGCTGCACATCTATGATGCGAATCTCACGTTCCACCACATCCCAAAGGTGCTTTATTGGATTGAGATCTGGTGACTGTAGAGGTCATTTGAGTACAGTGAACTCATTAGGTTAAAGAAACCAGTTTGAGGTGATTTTAGTTATGTGCCATGGCGCGTTACCCTGCTGGAAGTAGACATCAGAAGATGGGTACACTGTAGTTATAAAGGGATGGACATGGTCAGAAACAATACTCGGGTAGGCTGTTTAAACAATGATCAATTAGTACTAAGGGGCCAAGAGTGTGCCAAGAAAATATCTTCCACAGCATTACACCACCACCAGCCTGAACTGTTCATACACGGCAGGATGGATCCATGCTTTCATGTTTATGCCAAATTTTCACCCGACCATCCGAATGTTGCAGCAGAAATGGAGACTCATCAGACCTGCCAATCTTGTTGTACAATTTTGGTGAGCCCTTGTGAATTGTGGCCTCAGTTTCCTGTTCTTAGCTGACAGGAGTGGCACCCTGTGTGACCTTCTGCTGCTGTAGCCCATCTGCTTCAAGGTTCAATGTGTTGTAACAGATGGCTATTTGAGTTACTGGTGCCTCTCTATCCTCTTGAACCAGTCTGGTCATTCTCCTCTGACCTCTGACATCAACAAGGTGTTTCCTCCCAGAGAACTGCCGCTCACTGGATATTTTCTCTTTTTCGGACCATTCTCTGTAAACCTAGAGATGGTTGTGTATGAAAATCCCAGCAGATCAGCAGTTTCTGAAATACTCAAACCAGCCCATCTGACACCGACATCCATTCCACGTTCAGTCATTTAAATCCCCTTTCTTCCCCATTCTAATGATCGGCTTGAACTTCAGCAGATCGTCTTGACCATGTCTACATGCCCTAATGCATTGATTTGCTGTCATGTGATAGGCTGATATTTGAGTTAATGAGCAGTTGAACAGGTAGGTATACCGAATAAAGTGGCCAGTTAGTGTAGATTAAAGTGCATGTCAAACCACAGACATTTATTTCTAGTTTTGGATAGAGTGGGCAAAGATAAGAATTCCTGTTGAGTTTTTACTGCTATCCAGGGCTTCTTTAGAGAGATTTTCTACCACTCTGACACTACTGACAACAGTCTCAGCAGACAGGAAGTGAGGGAAAATCTGAAACAGTGGCACAGATAGAAATAAAAATCTGATGGGGGTTCTAGCCTTCCACTATTCCTACCAAGGAAAACCATTTCATCTCTGTCTGTTGCTGTTGGAGAGTTAACCTCACTTCCTGTCTGGTGAAACATTGTTGGCTGGATAGGAAGTTATCATACATCTCTCAGTAGGGTGTGTCATGTGTTGATCCTTCCCCACTTGATCCAAAACTAAGAAAAATAGCTTTGGCTGGACATACACATTAACCCTTTTGCTGTCAACTGATGAATGCCATACGTTGGCAGCAGTGGGCACAGTATTTTTTTACCCTTCCATTATATTGTATTGTGGGTCTTTTTCACACTAAAATTAACTGTATTTTTACTGAAAGGACACCTATCATTGGAGAAATGTGTAAGCTGCCATTGCGAAATTCTCTATCCTAAAATAATCTAGATGCCTGGCTGACATATGCTGAAGCAATGACTCAGAACTAGAAATAGCGATAAGAAATTCTGTCTTTCTTCTACATTTTAAGAGTTGAATATTGAAGCAGGTGTGTAATTCTTAAAGCCAGATACAGCCAGGCAACTAGCATTTTCAGGGTGGGTCAGCGATGGCATCTTTTAGTCATGACAGGTGCAATTTAACGCCAAACTTTAAACACTTTTTTTTAGCGTTATTTTTTGTTTTGGACAGAGTCGGGTTTATATTTGCCATGTACTGTATCTCCCCAGTGGGGAGATTTTCCCTTGCTTCTTGTAGGGACCGGAAGTGGTGGAAATCTCCCCAATGGGATCACAGACAGCAACAAAAAAAGTTTTGTCTAAAGCTGGGCTTTATTTTAAGAATTAGGCATTGCTGTAAAACTGTCTGTGAGTTACTCCTATACAAATAATGACTGATTCTTAAATTCCACACTCTGCTCCTCCAATGTTATTCCTTGCCTTACAAGTCTGCTTTGGAGACGATCAATAGAGCTGAACTCCGGGTTAAGCAAATATTGTCTAAACACAATGAGGGGAATTTATCAAAACTGGAGCAGACAAAATCTGGAGCCGATTTGCACTGCAGCCAATCGGCTTCTTTCTTTCATTTTCAAATCTTACCTGAGCAAACTGAAAAGAGATGCTGATTGGTTGCCATGGGCAACTGCTCCAGATTCTGTTTGCTCTGGTTTTGATAAATCCCTCCCAATGAGGGGAATTTATCAAAACTGGAGCAGACAAAATCTAGAGCAGCGGTGCACAGCAACCAATCAGCTTCTATCTTTCATTTTCAAACCTTAACTGAACAAACTGAAGAGAGAAGCCGATCGGTTGCCATGGGCAACTGTTCCAGGCTCTGTCTGCTCCAGTTTTGATAGACTCCTCCCCGTGTAGTCTTACTTAAATATTGGTGACCTTTGTGTATTCCCAATATATGTGTGCAATAATCCAGTATGGAACCATTTTGCCCTTTGTGCAGGAGTTTCCTGTAATAAAGACCAGTCACTTCTGCTCTCTCCTTGTGCAGGGTGACTGGTCTTGTCTCCACCCTTTCCTGTAGTTTTCTGCTGGGTCCCTCCTACATCTGCTGTCTGCACAGGCCATGTACAGCACCTTGATGACGTCACAGCTACATTTACAAAGTCATATGTGGGGTTTCAAAGAGATTTAGGGCGTATAAAATAAATGTATATCCATGGTGGCTAGTGAAGAATATGTTTGAGTATTTTTGCCCGGAGTTCAGATTTAAGTCTGCTTAAATAGATTTGTCAGGCCTTTTAGAGCGAAGGGACAAGACATGCACCGCAGAACTATAAAAAGCATTAGTGCTCTAGTTCTGGATCATGTGACCTGAAGCCAACATGTAGGCGGTGTGACCTGCAGCGCATGTACTTTTTAGGTACCAATGTCAGTGCCCCTGTGCATGCCAATTGCACCTCTTGTTCCATGTTATACCTTAAATATTATAGAAAAAGTGGAATTAGCCTAAAAAACTGTAAATACGCCATACTTTCAGGTATGAAGGAGCATGCGACTCACTCCAAGTGACAGCACAAATACTATAATCTAGAAGAAGCGCTATCACATAGGAAGAGTCCATCGCTCTGTGTAATCTATGCCTTGAGCGACTCGTAGTTTATACAGAACTCCCCTACCTGCTTCGGGTGGCTGAATGGAGCAATAAAAAGATGATTATGACACTGAAGCGGCCTTACCCTCAACCACAACTTACTCCGAATCACCTGACAACTACGCATAGACATTACCTACCCCATCCACACCCCTACCTATCTACCACCTCCTTCACCCCTCCTCCACCCAACTCAACGAGCTCCCTTCATGCCGGGTGTCATTGACACATTCACAGACGTGTAATGCATCAGTACTGCAACTCAAAGCCTTCACGATCTAGAAGCAACCGCAAGGCCACCTCGCACGCATATGCCTCACAAATGTATTTTTCCTATCACGTGTGACTCAAGAAACCAAGTTGATCGCACATGAGCGACACTTATAGACTGTGATTACATACTTAAATTGCTCGTTTCTACTCTCTCCCTCTTTCTATATTTCCCGGCCACAAGGCTGGAACGTTGTTTGTTCTGATGTACATGACTTGAACCAGCAATTGTAATAGCTATGTCACATGTTATCTTTTGAAAAATTCAATAAAAACCTTTAAAAAAAAAAAGAAGATGATTATGGTTTGCTGGGGAGGGAGGCAAGGGACAGCTTCTATTTAATTTGGACCCCATAACAGCACATGCCTTCCTTATACTCCATGCAGCTCGGAGTGAATAGAGTAAGTCCTGTGTAAGCTCCAAGTCAATCCTAGTCAGAGCTTACACAGGGCTATGGGCTCTCCCTGCACCCATATACAACAGAGGCTTAACTACAGATCATGGGGCCTCTTGCGCTCTCCCTACTGTCGATGATATTAAAATAAAGTATGCCCTAATTAGAGCTCCCTTCCACACTCAGGCCCCATAGCAGTCGAATGGGCTGCTATGGCTATTGCTATCCCATTGATAACAGTGATTGCTCTTGAGCAACCCAGCAACGGTGTCAAATAAGAGAAAGGGGAGAGAGTAACATGATCTCCCATACCCAGAAGTACCGGGC